ATGCAATATGCCTAAATATGCAAAATAAAATAAAATTGCACGCAAAGTACACAAAATCATTAATTTTTATTCTAACCCATATGTGGTGAATTTTGAGAGATGATTAACTAAAAATCGATCTTGTGAATTAAACAAACTGGGAATAAATTTACGAGGCAAATCTGATGATACGGTGAAAATCATCACTCCAAATTATGCATAAAAAATAAAAGCATTATTATTCAAAGTCTCTTTTCACTTGGTAACAATCATCGAATTGGTGAAAGTCGGCCCCATTACTTTGCAATAATGATTTTGAGTAATATAAACTAGACTTGTGCAAGAACAATGTTAACATTATTGCGCCGTGTTTATTATGAAGATGATCATCTTATAACTTCATGTTGGAAACAACACAAGTAAAGTGTGAAGTTCGTCAGTAACTTTCACCTTTCACATAGTTTTTTGTTTATGAAGCTCTTTTCATAGACGATCTCGTAGGAAACGAGTCATGTGCTAGCTTTCTAAATAAATCATTGTGTGATGGTAGCTCTTTCTAACATAAACAAAAAAGTCTCACGGCATGTAAGAGCACTCAAACAACTTCAGTTAGTAAGATCTCATTAGATTATATAGAGTTCGAACATCAATCATGATTTTGTAGTGAAAATAATGCAATATGCAAAGTATGTCTAGTACAATAACCTATATGCTTACACACAATGTGAGTAAATAATAAGTTTTTCAATATACAATACAATTAATATAATGCAATTTTATACAAGCAATCACATGGTGCACATCCCTAAAATTTTCTTAGAAAGATGAACCTTTGAAAATCTAGTGCTTTGGTGAAAATATCAGCCAACTGGTTTTGTGTCGAAACATATTCAAGAATAATCACCTCATCCTTAACCAGATTTCTAATTAAATGATAACTATATCAGTATGCTTAAAGAAATGTTGAACAAAATATTTAGAAATATTAGCTGCACAAGTAAGGTTAGAGAATAGGTCAATCGCTCGTACCTCAATTCCAAATTCAAGCAAAATATGCTTCATCCACACTATTTTTTGAACAACAAGTTTCAGCCACGAAATTTTCATTGGTGTAAGAACATCCGTCAGATGTACTCGATCGATCAACAACATTCCCATCACTATCAGATTCACAATACCTAACAATACTAGAACTCGTGTCACATGAGTCAAATGGCATATAGTCAATCAAATAACAATTATCATGTGATCTAAGCCCTGCCAGAACACAATTATTATTTCTATCAAAAACAGAACATTCATTCAAAGTGAAACTCATAGAAAAGCCTTGATCACATAACTGACTAACACTCAGCAAAGTGACATTCAATTTCGCAACCAATAAGACATTCTGAAACTTAGGCAAACCAGACACATTCAAACACCCAATTCCTACAACTTTATTTGTGCACCAAGACCAATAGTTACCAAACCACAAGACATGGAAAAAATTAACCAAATTAGATCAATTCCTACAACTTTATTTGTGCACCAAGACTAATAGTTACCAAACCACAAGACATGGAAAAAATTAACCAAATTAGATCTAGCTCCTGACATGTGCCTAGAATATACACTATCAAAATATCACTCCAAATTAGGGGTGGATTTCAAATCAAGTATGGAAGATAGACAAATATTTTGATTTTTTTTAGGAATCCAAATCTTTTGCTGCTGGTGATTTTTCATATCAACTTTTGATTTTGGATCTTTTAAGGAAATACCATCTACACTCCAATCATTAATATGACCCGTATATATATCTTTACGCAGCCTATAACATCTAGGACGAATATGACCAACAATACCACGATAGTACAAGTAGGAATAAAACTTTTGTCACACCCTTCACGGTGTTCTTGCACAAAGTTCGTCTTACCCTTCTTACCTTTCATACTAGAACCTTATTTGAAAAAAGTTGGGGCAGACTTATCTTGTGACGTACCGGCTTCAGAAATATTACCTTTTAGCTTCAAGGGTTGAGAAACATTACTGAGGTCCATACCACCAATCTATTTGCTCAAGATTTGGACTTCAGTGAATGGAATGTTTATCACCTCTTCATTCTTACTTAGTTGTTTCTAAATGTTGGTGTAGTGATCTCGCAGAGTCACATGTTCTTGCATCACTTGGCCAAGTTTATTTTTTAATGCAACAACCTCAACATTCTTTTCATCTAGTCCATTATGCAAGGCAAGCATCTCGTTGCATAATGATTTAATGACAAAGTGTTTCTCGTCACTTACCTGTTTGCTCAGTTTGACTGCGTGTTCCAACAAGGCGAGCTTTGTCAAACATTCATTGAAATCATACTCTTAATTTGGTATGGAAATCAGACCTTGTCAGCTTGTCAATGCGTTCTCCATTTAGCACGTGGATCTTTTGAAGCTCATCCCTTAGGTAGATGGTTTCTTTCACATATTCCTTAGATCGATGTTCCAACACCTTCAGTTTTTTTACACGAGTCTGGTATTACTTAATGATTTTGCAACCTTGATGCACTTCTCGATTGAATACATGTGCATGGCAAGATCTTTCTCGGTAGGGTCAGAGAATTTTAGTTTTTCATCATAATCGCTTTTAGCACGTGTGTAAGAACCCATGCCAGAGTCGTCATCAGTGAGGTGGACAGATGAGGTGAAACACGTGAAATCATTGAGAGGACACCTATCAAAATTTATGGAATACTCAAAACCTTTTGTTGCTCTGTGTCATCATCATCATCATCATCATCTTCATCATCTTCATCATCATCATCATCATCATCATCATCATCATCATCATCATCGTCATCGTCCCACGTGGCTTGATAGATCTTATTCTTCCATGTGAAATTCAGACACTCAACTTGAAAGTGCCAAAACCTTTTGCACTCACGACATTGGTCCTTCTCAACACATTGTTTCTGATTTTGAGTCTTTTAAGATTGTGAGTTAGAACGTCGTTCACCAGACTGTGGATTGGTGTTCTTGCTGAAGTTCGTTGTCTTCTTCCCTTGAAACTTGTTTTTCTGAATCTTCTTAACCAGCGTTAGGACTTCGACAATCAAGCCAGTCCACAGTGATGAAAAGACGATGAACAGTCTAAATATGCTTTGTAAATATAAAAAGTATGCCGAGTTTGGATTGTCATACCTTACCCCTTTATATTGAGATGGTATCTTGTTGCTCAAGCCTACCCGAATGGGCTGCCAAAGTGCTCGAACTGCCCTGCGTACTGCTCGAGTGCCCTGATTGCCCGATTCTATTAGGCTACGTGGCCCAATCCACGTGTGGTCCTTATGCTAATAATATTCATTCTTGTCTTTTAGTCTGTCCTATTAAATGGTCTAATCATACAACCAGCTCGGCCTTCATCGAGCTAGATTGGCCTCTCACTATGCTCGTGCATATTGTATTTCAGGTTGATCCATCGACCTGCATGTCTCCAGGTCGAGTTTCTACCAGGCCATCTGAGGACCCTAGCTCGACCTTTGGTGCTTATCCTAAGTAGTGGGATAATCATCGACCTAATACTCTAGCGACCTATGTGGTTTCAATCCTGATCTTCGATCGACCTGCGATTGCTTAATTGATTCTCTTGGATTGCTTCTCAGGTCAAGTCGATCCATTATAGTATCCTATATCATTCATATACTGTAAAAGAATTTGTCAGGGTATCTTATTATAAAATACTTATTAAAATTGATTTGATGTAAAAGTATGAGAGAGATGATTAGTTGTTATTATTTAATTATATTTATAATACTGAGGATAATGGAGTTGAGTTAAAGTTGAGTTAGATTTTAAGTATGAATTAATTTGGTTTGAGTAAATTCTATTACAAACAATGTTTTAAATACTGGTATGTACCGGCCGATTTTACTGGTAATACCGGATACCGGTTGTCCAACCGGTATGATTATCTCCAAAATACCATTTTGGCCAAAATACCGGTTTTATATTGAAAAATACCGATTTTACCGGCTAAAATACCAGGCATACCGGAACTTTTTTTAAAAAAATATTTTTATACCATATTTTTATTAATTTATTTATATAAATAGAAAGTTCTACACTTAAATTTAATATATTTACATTTTTATTTGACTTTAGATAATTTTAGTATTTATTATAGTTAGTTTTATATATTATTTATATTACAATAATAAATTAATTTAATTTTTATTAAAACCGATAGAATATACAGTAAAACCGGTTGAACCGCGTACCGATGGCTCATCCGATATGGTCACGGGTACCGTATTTAAAACATTGATTACAAACACACTCTAAATCCGTCATTGTTACCAATTACTTCTGCATATAAGCTAGTCAAAATGATTTACTGTCAATTATTTATTATTAGTTAATTGAGTCAATTATCCGCCATTAGCTCGGGAAAAATCTATCTCCACCATATATTCAAATGCAAATGTACGTGCGTAGAACGGTAGAAGCATAATTTTGTCCCTATATGAAAAAAGTCCCGCCATCTTTTCATAATGAGCTCAAGTGATCAATAGTGGTAGCTGGCATTCATAAAAGCGGTGGTTCATTGAAACGGGCTTTATTTTATTTTCTTTTATTTTGTTTATGTACTAAATATATTTTCTCTATAGAGGGTCATATAAAATTAAGGTTTGCTTGGTTGAGTGAGTTCAAGTCTTCAAATTTTCTATACCGTCAATAATACATTTTTAATGGGCGAATAATAATAGCGAGTCCTATGTTATTCGACATAAAATTAAATACACCATGAAACTATGAATCCATAAAAGTTAATTATTAGAAATAAACTAGAAAAGGGAAAAAAAAAAAAAGG